TGATGGATATGCACTGAACATTATTGATCACACACTAGGTGATAACGCATTACTTCAACAATTTAAACAAATAACTCTCATTTTGAAAGAAAACTTTCAAAACGACATCTGGAATCATACAAGTCAACTGTTGTGACCTGATAATGATCCATGACGACCGAAACATCGTCTGAAGTTCCTCTCCAAAGTGAGAGTCAATTATGTACTGCTTCAATCACGGTATGTGTACTTAACAATGATTTATTAGTGACTTTTTGCGAAAATTGTTAATCTGAGCAAACAATTCCATCCCTTCCCTAAGAAAAGTGTAACACAAATATTTGAATAATTCCTTTACAATTAAATAAATACCTCAAGAATAAATCCAGATAAATTTTACAATTAAAAACAAGACTTGAATGAATGTTAAATTAATACAAACAAGATGTCTGCCGGAGAAAAAAATATATATTAAAAGTCCAATGTTTTTACAAAGAAAGTACCTTAAACACAACACAAAAACAGTAAAAAACAATAAAGATAATTAACATAAACATTTAAACAGTAAAGACCTATGCAATGAGACATTAAATCTTTACACATGGAAATAATAATCTGCAGATAAGAAAGATTTTAACCCACATACTCACTGTATACAACCATGGCTAAGAACAACAGATTATTATTCTGAATAAATTAATCTAATTGTATATACAGTATGAAAGTCTGTTAAGGACGTTATTGAGAGTTAATGAACAGTACCAAGTAATAAAAAACATTAAACAATAATAAAACATACCTGGCACAGCTCAATTAGTAAAAATATTCACAGACGTTATCAGTAAAGCTATTAAGCAAAAACGTCCGACAAGACTACAATGTTTTCAACCTGTTAATGGAAAATTAGTACTGCATCAACGTTGGTCCGTCGTCATTAACACTGCCAGCATTACCCAGGAAGATTACTGCTGCTGGTGACAGTTAAGTTTCCAGTTAAATGATCAACCCCATCCAAGAAAAAAAAAAAAACTAAGTTTTCCCTTACCTGACTTGTCTCTGTCAGAGAAGTGGTGGTCGGACCTGGTGTCCCTGGCTCGCTCCTCGCTGCCACCACTCTCTGTAACACAAGAAAACACCATAAATACTTGTGTGTGTAACACTCATATCAATACCGATACTACCACCACCACCACCACCACCACTCTCCGTAGTACATGAGCACAGACGAGCCTGAATAATGAGTAGACTATTATCATCAATACTGGTACTACTATCAACACTACAACCCCCACCAGGCACTACGACCCCCACAACACACCAACACAAAGCAAAATGTATTGAATAATGTGGTACTACCACCATTGCTACCACTCGCATCACCGGTACTGCTGATGTTACAACTGTGTTGCTTGTAATACATACATATACATATACATATATATATATATATAAAATATAATATATATATATAATATATAATATATATATATATATATATATAATATATATATATATATTAATATTATGTCGCCCGACTTCTCCATAACCGTGTTGGTGTTGATGTCTGGCCACTATATCAGCTTTTCTGTCTGCATAACCTCTACGTGTCTACCAGATCAGTCCTACTTGTCGACTTGCTTGTCTCCCTAGCTCACCCGTTATGTCTTTCATATCTAGCCTGCTGCCTATTTATCTTCAGCCATGAATGCTACACTTATACCACCATTTGGTTTAGTTCCTTGTGCCTGTCAATCCGTCCCTTGACCCCTAATACTGGTATATGCAATATTTTTTTCTTGGTTCTTTCACTATTTTTGGCTAGCGTTTTTTTCGTATGTATTATTCCCCTTGTGTGGGTGTCTACCTCTCTGTGTGGACGACTACCACCAACCCTGTGTGTGTCCACCTGCCTGTGTAGTGGTGTTGGGGGGTTTTTCTCCGTGTAAAGTGCTACCCCCTGTGTGGTCCCCCTCCCTGTGGGGGTGCTGTCTTGTGGGTGTTAAATGTGTGTGGGTAACTACCTGTTTTTGGTGGGGTCTTGTGGTTTCTACCCCCTGTGGGGGTTCTACCTGCCTGTTGGGGTGTCTACCTGCCTGTGGGGGGGGTGCCCCTACTGTTTTGGGTCTACTGCCCGTGTGGGTGGTACCTGGTTCTGTGAGTGTCTACTTTTATAAATTGGTGATTAAATTACCTATTTCACATTATTTGTATCACAAAAGATACATTAGCAGTGTTTTACGGTGTACCCTTTAAAAAGTTTGTCATAAAATTTTGCTAATTTAGATGAGAGAAGGATTTTAAATTTTTGTATAAAGGGCGTTGCAAATTTTCCCCTAAAAAATTCGCACCCCGGGGAAAACTAAACAACAAAAAAACCTTTGGACACCTCATTTATATAAATGGGGGGACACCATGTTAGGATTTTGTAGTAGGAGATGGGCCAGCAGTGCAGAATTCTTGCGGGTTTTTCCCGCATGGGTCCATTAACAAACCTGCCCAAAAACCCAATTCTAAATAAGAAAAACTTGCAGACCATGTTTTCGATAACCCACCCGACCTCCCCCCCCAAACCCCTTTCCCCCCAATCTCTTTCACTGAATCAACAACCCCCCCTCGTCCCCCATTATTTCAACCCCATCGCTTTTGGATAGCTTTTCGAGGGATGAAATTCCACATGAAGTACAACTCCAGCTAGGCTCAAACGAAACCCTAAAGCCCCGTACGATGAACCCTTACTGAATAATTTTACGTATCCTCACGCTTGTCTCTCAGTTCAGGGGGAAGATTTCAACACACTTAAAAAAGTCCCCCATTCTGTGTAATTGAAAAAAACAGAAAACGTAGTTTTCGTTCTTAAAGTGTAGCGCAATTAGTAAATA